CTTTAATTTCATTATCAAGGGCGAATTCCAAAATATTTATTTTTTTATTATAAAATTTTTCTTATTCTATTTTGAGACCCAAAATACAGCTGAAACTTTACTGCACAAAATAAAATATTTTTATTTTAACAAACATAACATATTGTTATATTATAATAACTCATTAACAATTATTTGTTGTTAATAAAACATTTATTTATTCTCAATTACTTAATAATAAAACACGTTTGCCATTTGAAAATTATAAACCATTAAACGCTACTAACCAGTTAACTATTCAATCTAAACTGTTGGTAAACAATAATTATTTTAACAGAGATGTTAACGTGTCTGAGAAATATTCAAAACTCAAATGTTAAATCGGTAATTAAAATAGCAGTGCGCCATATTTCAAACAAGACAAATCAGAATATAATTTATAAAGAACTCACAAAACTTGTAGAGTTGAGAATGCAAAAACTAGTAGAAATCTATTGCAATCCCAACGACATGCTAGTCAGTTTTGACATTAAAAACCTACTCACTAATGTTCCTCTAAAAAAAAAAACCTTAAAAATAATAAAAACTAAACTAGAAAAGGATGATTCATTGAGAACAAAAACAAAACTGAATATATCAGCTATTAACGATAATTAATGGAGGTATTAACACTGCTCTGACAACGCCTATATAGGATTAGCCATGGGCTCTACATTATCTCTATCATTAGCTGATATATTCACGGAAGAATTTGAGCAAAATATTGTAAACAAACATAAACAAAAACCCACAGTATAGTGGATATGTAGATGATGCCTCCATTTGGTCTCATGGTCCATTGCACTGAAGAAATTTTTGAATGACAACTGCAAAGAATATTGCTTACTTACCGTATCTGACTTACTCAATGAAGAAATATGTGTAGTAAACTAATTAATAGAATTTATCAGCCTCGTGTTACCAATACAAGGCACAGAAAGATCAAAATTTGATATCAAATTTCCAGGTTACAACACCTCTCAGAAATTCAGTCAACACATGGTTATTTGCCTATAAGATCGAGGCCAAATAAGTCAAATTTGTCACACATCGCCAATTTATAAACATTTACTGATTAAATATAACATTTATTACTTTAAAATTTTTTAAAAAGATTTCCAAATCGAAAACCAACACGTTAAAACAAAAAATGTAAAATATAATGCTGACTACAATCAATTGTGGTTTATCCCATATAAAATAATGTTAAGAGGAAATATTCTTTAACTCATAACTGCTACCGACAAAAAGTTATCTCGCAGCTGCTATTGACGGGGCACTGTGACCCAGTTAACATTAAAACATTAACTACTACATTTTTTTCAAGCCTTAAACACTTTTGTATGTTATTTAAATGTTATTTACAACTTGGGCATATTTTCAGAGCACATTGTAAACATATTGGTAATTTGCACACAAAACAGTATGTTTTACGGGACAAATTACGCATCACTTCCGTTAAGATATACTTTGTGGTGCAGGTGTGTCGTCTATATTCGCTGCCAGACATCGAAGTTTCCGGAGTAGATTTAGGTTGTACTTAAAAGTATTTTCTTCATATGTGGCGTGCACAGTGGAATGGCTAGTTCTTTTAACAAATTGTATCGGAATATTTCTTTTCCTTGGGAAAACTGGTATATTATACGGCTGTTTTACCAGACACATTTACAATACAGTGAAAAATTGCCATAGGCCATCGACGGGTCCTTCGAGAACTGGAATATGTTGCACATTTTTCTTACAAAGCGTCTACACCTGCTTTGGTTTGGTTATAAAGCGTAATTATTTCCGGTTTTCCATTGCTCGTTTTCTTAACTCATTGGTTAATTCCATTTTCCAGTTGTTAAAACAGATTTTCTATTTTTTTGGACATATGATACAAGTCTTGTCTGAAATCCGAACTCTGAAGAATTAAAGGATTTCTTTCTCTCGGCAATAAATTCTGAAGGATCATTCTTTTATTTTTCTTCAGTGTACCTATATATGTAATTGTTCGTTTTCTTAACTCATTGGTTAATTCCATTAATGTGTACCAGTTATCTCCAGTGACATTACGGTTGTAATTTTTAATACATTTTATCATGCGAAGAAGAACGTCAGTTGAATGTGAAAATAGCTGTTTTTGTTCTTGTTAGGTTAGACTTATTACACTTGGACACAAAAATTTTATTACCTTTTTTGGTCAAATTGTGGTATACTATCATAGATAAAACCAAAACAAAATGCGTCAAGGTTTATTAAAATCGATCAACTAAATCCGGAGACGAAAGATTTTGAGAAAAACTACGTTTATAAAATTGGGGGGCAGTTAATCCCTGGATCTAGTCCGTCAATTTTAATAAACCTTGAGAAATTTTGTTTGTTTTCATTTTCTCTATGATAGTTTACCACAATTTGGTCAAAAAAATTTTGTGGTTGAAAAAAGTCGGAAAATGTCAACTTTTTCAAATGTCCACCATTTTGTTTTTTTTTTTAATTCTAAATTTTTCTCGTAAATCATTACGTAATGGCACTTATTTTTTAAAACCCTTCTCGAATATTATATTTCAGATTTGCCGTGCCAGAGATTAACTGTCCGCCATGGAGCAGTAATTTTTGGACGAGAAATGTTTGGAGCCATCTTTAAAATAAAGGGACAATGAAATTTTTTTTATATAATCTCCAAAAGTCGTATAATGATATAAAAAAGTTTGATTGTCATATGTCATTATATAATGATAAGATTAAAAAAAAATGTTGAAAATGTCATTTTTTAGGAATAATGTGCTCAAAAATAGTTCTGAAAGTAGTGTACACAAATGTCAAATTAAAAGTTTATTCTAAAAAGCTAGTTTTAAAAACAAACATTTTCAAACATAAAGTTTTTTCGAAATCCATTTTTATTAAAACATGTAATACACATTTGCGGCTGTTCCGGGCACTTGTCGCAATAATTGTGTGTTAATTATTTTGCTTTAAATTCAGCAACTACGCGTCCTGATTATTTTTGAATTTTTGCGTAGCAGACCGACCACCTACTTACGGCGGATATTTTTTCCATCTTCCCCGACTCTCACAAGTAAATGGTGGTAATCTGTGGGTTTCTATGGCAACTGCTCTTTTGCTAAACCTTCGATATCACGTAACTTTACTCTGCTGCCAAGATATCACGAAAAGCACGGATTTGGATTTTCTTTTTGGTGACACGTTTGTATAAAACCCATGCATTTACTACATATATTCCTAGAAGTATCTCCATTCCTAGCTTTTTATACCGCGTTAAGCCTATTCGAAGCGTAGTAGCATAAGATGCCATCTGATCTGACAAATCGATCCTAGCTTTTCCTTGATTGTAAGCCAGAATTGCAAGTGGCTTCTCTTCTGCCTTTCGAGATGTTCTTTTTTTCTTCACTAGAACTTTCTTTTCTATGTCAATGGTTGCTTCTGGGAGGTCTTCGGAATTTTTTGATTCCATCTGGTTTAAGACAAATCGCTACCACTTGATGATGCTTGTACATTGGTAGTACCGGAGATGGCTTGGTTTCACCTGACGGTTCCTTTGTAATCCTGGAGCGAACTGGCGTCATAATTGGGAACTTTTTTGACAGCAACCTAACATCTCGCGTTTCTCTCCATTTCAAAACTACTATTCCGTTTTCTTCCTCACAGGACACCATCTTCCCCTTTTTTATTTTTGCTTGAATGGCATCTTTTGGAACATTTTTCTTATTTGCTCTCAGGGTTCCTACAACATATGTTTGTTTTTCAAGCATTATTCTAGCTATGTAACTCATAGCTCGTATAAAAATTATCTATGTATAGAGTTCGTCCTTGATAGAGAAGCTTTTCACATAATCTCACACATATTAGTTGCTAGTCCGACTTCCCGTTGCCCTGTTGCTGACTTTCCCGCGTATACTTCAAGGCCCATAATTGTGGGCCTTATCTGGTATATATTGCCTATAAATTAGGTGCCCTCTCCATGGTACACGAGTTTCGTCTATGACTCTGTCTTCGTCAGAATACATTATATATTGAAACTTGTTTTGAAAAATATCTAAGACGTTTAATTTTTGCGACACGTTCATCTTGTTAAGGAATTTCATTATTGTTTAAATGTCTGACTTAGCAGCACTTGATATCTGTTCCGCGGCATATTTTGACGATAAAACCCCTTTGTTGCCCAATAATTCGGTAATGAACTTAGTCGTACTAATCCTATCCGAAGGGTTAACCACATAAACTTTTTCATTTCTTCCGGATTCGTTGGTTTCCATTTTTTTATTCGTGCATATTTTTTTGCTTCCTTAGAAGCCAAAGTTTGTTCCGCAAATCTGTTGATTTCTCTTACTATAAAATCCATGACTTCATCATCGATGATAATATGGAAAAATTCCTGAAGCGAAGTCATTTCGGGAGAAAAATTTTGTTGCAGGCCATTGGTACCAGTACCTAAACTGGAAATCTATTTGTCGGCTAATATATTCGGTCCAAACAGTGGAAGATGCTGGCGTTTTCTCATCTTCTTCTTTTTGATCATTCTCTTCATTTCGAGTTTCTTCCGTCCAGAAATCAGAAGAGCATCTTCAATATATGTGGCGTCTTCGTTATCCACTTCATCAGATGACTGAAATCGGTTCTGTATAACTCCAGGATTAGTCAAAATCCCGATTTTTAATAAAGTCATCGGGATCAAGGTCACTCTCGTTACCGATTGCAGAGTCAATCTCGTTAGTGATTGCAGATACTGCATCTTCTAGTTCGGTCTATTTTAGAGATCGATAATGATAGCCGTTTTAGAGGTCGATAATGATAGCCGTTTTAGAGGTCGATTTTTATTATTTTTCTTTTACAAAACTAATAATTCCTGTTCTATCTAATTCAAATTGTCCAATAAAATCTGATATAAAACTAAATTAGTGTTATAAATATAAAATGTAAAAATTTTTATTTCAAAATCCAATATAAATAAAATAATTAATTGGATGTTGTTTGTTTTTCAGATGAAAAAGAGAGGTATGATCCAACTGGGTTTAGGGATGCAATAATCTCTGGACTCGATAAATGTTCTAACGATTTTGAAGCTATATCTCGATATTTGGACAGTGCTGGTAACAAATTAGATTATCGTCGCTATGGCGAATGTCTCTTCGATGTACTCATCGCTGGGGGCATCCTGGGTAAGTAGAATTTTTTATTGGCCTTATAGAAACAATTCAGTATGACCATAAAAAAGCATTACTATTACGTCAATAGAATAGCTGAAACTAATGATCAACATGGTTTTGTTCATGTTTTTGTTGTCATCTTTGCAAATTAGTTCTAGTTACATTTTAGTTGAAGTGTCCGTTGGCAAAAAGGTATACAGTATTGTGCGAATTAATGGAATCATAGGCTGTTTTAATGAAAAAACAGTTTATTTAGTAAAAAATTATATTTTGACAAAACTATAAAGGTAAACTTACATCATTCAGTAGGAAATATGTCCCCCTTTGGCAGCAATTACTGCTTTTACCCGTTTTGGCATAGATTCTATGAGTTTCTGGCAGTTGTCAGATATCCTTTCATCTCGACACCAAACTTGAATGGCCGCCTTCTATCATTTTTGTTTTAGTGGTACAGTCGATTTTTCGCAGTCTAGCTATGCAAATGGCCCATAAATTTTCAATGGGGTTGAGGTCGGGCGAACTACCGGGCCAATCTAAAACATTAATCTTCTTATTTTTGAAAAATACCATCATTTCCTTTGATTTGTGACAGGGAGCAGTCCTGTTGAAGAATCGCTCCTCCTTGGGGTTGACATTTTTGGAGTTGTTTGTCCAAATACTTTTCCAACATGGATTTGTATTCTTGGCTGTTCAACATGCCTTCAATTGACACCAAAGATCCAACCCCCATGTATGAAAAACATCCCCAAAACATTTTCTTGTGAATGTTGAAAAAATGAAAAAAAAATTCACAGTGATTCCATTAATTCGCCCAATACTGTAGGTACTCTCTCCAAACATTGGGTATCGCTTCATTATGCCGAATCTTACCCGATTTTCCTCTGCGACTCTTTTTGGTTCTGGGACGTTTTTCCTCTAATTTTACCGAAAAAGGTCATTCAATGCGTCTAACGACTCGAACATGTCGGAAAAACTACTGTGACAAAATGAATAGATAACCGGCTAATATTTTCAGGATACTTTCATTAATAGCACCAAAAACAACTTTTCATAATGTTATTAAATTAAACTGTTTGTATTAAAAAACTCAATAGATGTTTCGGGAAGATCACTAGTTTTACAATATAGTCCAAACGTGTTAATAATGCCATCATGTGATTTTCATGAAGCTAAATACAGGAGGATGGAAACTGGTGAGTCAAACCGAACAAAAATAAGCTTTGCAAAATTGTCAAAAATTCTTAACTTTTGACTCGTTATTAATGAAGAAGAACGAAAAAAGAAGAACATACTTAAGTAAAAATTATTTCTTAAGATAAAATTTTCACTTGACTCACGTTGGTGAAACTGGTAGTAGGTCATATATCCTTCATTGCTCTCAAACTTTCTCCACATCATGCTGCCATCGCTTTCTTGGTATATTTCTCCGTCGTTTTTTCCTACAAAATTTTCCTCTGGAATTTCCCTTACGGGGACATTATTTCCAGGTATCCAAGCTACGCCAAACATTTTGATTTTATACAAAATATGTCCTTCCCTCGTATCATGTTCAAAATTAATTTTAATTCTAGACTAGGTACCCTCTTCCATCGGTTCATGTATCCTTTGAAGTATTGTTCTTTTAACAATTAGTCTTACCAAAGCCTTGTACAACTTAATTTGAGTTTCTCTGGACACCTGGACAGCAATGTTGAATTCAATAGCTTTATGTTGGCAAAAGGTTTACGTCCTGTTTACCGGCATAATTATTTTTTGAGAATTAGCTTGCTTTACTGTATGATCTATATGCAATCCTTAAACAGGTCAAAGACAAAGATCATAATAGACTGCATAACAAGCATCCACACATGACCACGATTGACAGGTTTGAAGTTGTGAGCTCATATTTATATCTGGGATCATTGATAACCAACACAGTTGCTGAACGGTATACACGCCGTACGAGGATAACCAACTAGATTGAAGACCGTTTTTTTAGGTTGCAGACTTTGCGAGATTGCACTGCAACTGCATCACAATTACAAACGAGTCTTCAAGAAACCCATCAGGTGTCTGTAAGTGGCCAAACGATTAGAAACAGGCTACATGAAGTAGTGTTAAATGTTAGAAGACCTGTCAGAGTGCCTGTGATATCCAGAGGAAATCACGCTCATCGACTGCAGTGGTCACAAGAACATGCAAATTGGATTAGACGTGAGTGGTCCTCTACTTTGTTCACAGATGGATTTGGATTTGCACCAGACACAAGACGGACAAGAATTTGGAGATGATTTGGCAATACTGAACGGTTGGCCACCGTGCAGAAGATTCATAGATAGCAAGGTGACAGTATAATGGTATGGAGTGGCATCACTCTTGGTGGAATAACCAACCTCGTTTTCTGGAACGGTTTCTAAATGCAACAGACTACCGCTATATTATTTTCGAACCTATTGTTGTACACTTTGCAAAACAAGCTGGTCCCCAATTTCAATTAATGCACGACAATGCGCCGAGGGCTTTTCAATGGAGTGGACCAGAATGCCACAGCTAGATATTAACCATCTGATCATGAGTTCGTTTACAAATGTAGGACGGTAATCAACAACCGTGAGGATCATACACTATACTAACTTAACCTATAGACTACTTTGTTGGGAGTTGAGGGGCCACCACAAATTAGTTTTTTATTATTTTTTATCATTTTTTGACTTATGGAATTCTCTTTTAAGTTTATTAATAACCATTGCGATAATTCTAAAAAAAAATGTTTCTTTTATTCGGGATATTTGTTTATAACCTTTTATTAAAAATATTAGAAATAAATTATTGGAAATCTTTGTGTAATCTCGCATTTTATTTTGCTTCTTAGATTATATTGATGTGTGTACATATTTTAACGCCGTTTTTGCCCTCGTAACTTATATTAATGTCAATATTTTATTAGTTCCAGGAGGCACACTATCACAGGAAGGTGATGGTCCGTACCGAACGGAGGCATGTATTTTTAACACACCGGACGAAATCAATATGGACATAATGAAGAACTGGGAACAGGTGTTCATCAAACTGATGCGTCGCTATAAGTATTTGGAAAAACTTTTCCAGGTTAGTAAAAGCTGGTAAACTGACACTAATATAATCATACAAATAACAAAGTAATGTAGATAATTTGATGTATCTAATTTTATTGTTAATTGCTGTAGATTAATGTAAGTATTGGTCCGGATAAGCGGTGAAATAAAATAAATATGCCGAATTTGAGTAGTGGTGGAAGTATTTATTATGCTGTATCATCATCATATACAGTGTGGAAACCACTTCCGGAATAAAATTGTTTGTGTCCTTATTTTAGAAAATAATAAAAAACGTTGAGATACCTTAACTTTTAAATTTAAATGTGCGCTTTTTAAACAAATTTGAATGTACAGGGTGATCCATGTAAGTCTGGCATAGTCCATAATCTGTAATTTAAATGAAACACGCTGTATATTTTTATGTTTTTAAAATCTCCTTAACAACCTGACCTCAACGAACTATATCGTGTAGGATCTATTATGAATAATACAAGATGAAATTTTGAAATTAAGCAAGACAATTAATTCATAGAATACCCGAGGTAATTGATTACATTACATTAAAATAAATGCTCAAAATGTTCCCCACCTTGTTGTTGGCAATAACACAGTCTCCTATAAAAGTCCCGAACTTTGTTTAAAGTTTGATGTGAAATATTCCGCATTTCTCTAGTTATCCTTTCTTTGAGGTCTTCAATGCTAGTTGATTTTGTTTCATATAGTTTGTTCTTGAGATAACCCCACAGAAAAACATCAAAGGCGTAAGATCTGGTGACCTAGCTGGCCACTCAATAGTACCCCTTCGTCCAATCCATTTATTGAAGAAGATTTCATTCAAGTAATTTCTCACCATTAAAACATAATGGAGTGTTGCACCGTCCTGCTGGAACCAGACAGTTTTATGCGGTAGGATCGGATCTATTGAATTGGGATATAAGTTAGCCAACTGCGGAAGAACATCGTCTCTTAGCATGCTTAAATATTTCTCCGCTGTCAAAATACCATCTACAAATATAGGATCAATAATATCTACAGTTTTGTCGGTTTACCTCTCCGTTGGCTGTAAATGTTGATTCATCAGAAAAAAGAATTGTGCCAAGAGCTATTTGATTTGTTTTAATTTTATCCATCATTCTTTCGCAGAAATCTATTCTACGATCTGGATAGTCTTTCTGTTAGCTCCTGCACAAAAGTCAATTTATATGGATGAAGTTTTTCTTCATGGAGACACTTTAGGACAGTTGTGTGACTCACATTATTTTGCCGTAAACTTGACGTTGGATTCTCTGCGACACTTAACTAAATATCCACTTTCACCTCATCTTCAATGAAGTGAAGATATCTCTGATTAAATAAGTCTGCTACTTCATCTGGACTTCTACAATTCTCCCCGTAACCGATTATCATTAAAATCACAATTCGGTGGGTCCCAGTTAAATATTTCATTTTTATTTCTGCAAGAAATTAGCTTTTAATTAGGAATTTATTATTTTAATGTAAAATGTCAACACACCAACAACTGATTAGACAGGCCATTCACGTTCCGACTTGTGGTCCCACTTAGTAGGACTACTAGTTGGATGTTCATCTCCACTCACGCTCCGACTTTCTATCCAACTAGCGGTCCAACTTCAGTTCTAGGTTGTTTTCACGATGGTATATATCGCTTAACCAAAAATTGTATCGAATAAACACTACGCAAAAATATAATAATATGATATGTATGTTTAAAAATTAGATTTCGTTTCTCTAGTTATTTGTCTAGGGCTGAACTAATTAATTTTTTCAACTCTTGATTTTTATGACTTTTTAAAATGTAGGAAAAAATTATAGTTTTTAAAGATTTGTATAGGTATAAAATCTATATTTTATTTGTTTTAAACTGGAGCTGGGATTTATTTTGTTGTGGTGTGTGTCGTATATTTTTAATAGAAATAATTTTTCGTGCAATTTAAAGTTATTTTCTATTATTTTTTTGCGAACTAGGGATCTTTTGCTACAACTATGATTTAATTTTCATTGTTTGTTGATAATTCTTCCGTAGCCAATCCGGAGTATCGGAAATTTACCTGTATAGGAATGTCCGAAATAGATCTACAGAAAGGAAAATGATTTGCCCTAACAAAAAGGTAATTTTCGTGCAATTGAAAGTTTATTTTCTATTAAATATTCGCGAACTAGAGATCTTTGCGTAAAGTATTTCATAGAAATCTCATACGTAACAGGTGCCGAAAGTCAACTGACTGAGGAAATTTTCGATCCAACCTGTGATCCGACTTCCAACTTCACTCATTCACGCTCCGACTTTGTCGCCAGTCGGAAGTCGGATCTTCAAGTCGTCCCACTAGTCGTACCACTAGTTGTCCAACTAATCCATCTAGCCCACTCACGGTCCGATTTCAGATCCAACTGCAGAAGTTGGACCACTAGTCGTACCACAAGTCGGAACGTGAATGGCCTGTATTAATAACAATCCGCATTATTTAACGATTTAGTTCAATTAGCAGACTATCTAGACAGTTTTTACCTATTCACGGCAAAAAATGTTAACACGGTTACTAAACAGAAATTTTTCCCAATATAGTGACACTTAGTGGATTGTCTGTATTTAGCTAATTTAAAATAATACCATAACACGTGATAAACTATTAATTTCAAAATTTCACCTTGTATTATTCATTATAGACCCTACATGATATAGTTCGTTGAAATCATGTTGTTAAGAATCTTTAAAAAACATAAAAAATATACAGGATGTTTCATTAAAAATAAGGATTGTGGACTATGCCAGACTTGCGTGGATCACCCTGTACATTTAAATATATGTTTAAAAAGCGCACATTTAAATTAAAAAGTTAACGTGTCCTAGAGTTTTTTTATTATTTTCCATAATTAGGACACAAACAATTTTATTCCATAACTGGTTTCCACACTGTATATGCCGTTAAATGGGTTGTAACTCTCTATAATCAATTATAGATCTAATATTTGATCGATAGAAAAGAAGAGATGTTTCAATATCAGCCCCCCATCAGTGTTTTGAAACTGCTTTAAGAAAATAAACCTTTATTGCACCAATTTAACATAAACTCGATATGTAATTAAGTCAATTGACGATCAAGAATCATCCCTAAATCTTAAATGGACCAAGAAACAGCTTAGTCGCGATGGTAAAGTTTTAATTTGTCCTTAGGGATATTGTGCCGAGTGAAAATGTAGACAGTAGATTTGTTTGGAGCAATTTCAAATCTATATCGTCTATACAATTGTTGTTGTTGCGCCTGTCTATTTTGATCTGGTTTGTATGAGTAGTTTTGTTTTATTTGTATTTATTGTTAGCCCTACAACTTCTGAACTCTGTTTCAACTGAACGTAGGTTTCTTCTGCCGCAGTCTTTGTTCTGCTCATTATGTTTATGTCATCTGCGTATGCTACTAATTGGGTAGATTTGTTTTGTAAGTATGTTATTTCTGCTCACCGTCAACCGTCTAATTACATATTCAAGAACAAGATTAAAAAGTGTTGGAGCCAGTCCGTCACCTTGTTTCAGTCCTTGCGTTGTCATAAACGCATCAGTGATCTGTCCTTGAATACATACATGTGCTTCTGTTTCTGTCATTGTCATTTGCAACTAGTCTTATTAATTTTGATGGTATGCCAAATTCTTGTAATATATTAGGTAGTATTGTTCTATCTATTGAATCATAGGCTTGCCTTGAAATCTACAAAGAGATTGTAGACGTCTATGTCATATTCCCATGCTTTGGCTAGTATTTGTTTAACTGTAAATAGTTGGTCAATAGTAGATCTATTTTGCCTGAACCCTGCTTGATATTCCCCGATAATTTTTTCAGTGAGGGGTTGAAGTCTTCGATTAAGAATGTTTGTGAGTATTTTGTACCCCGAACAAAGTAAAGAGATGCCTGACGGCCAAAGTCAGGTAAAGACGTGTTCGAAAGAAAAATATTGCGTAGAATACTGGGTCCAATAAAGGAAAATAACAACTGGCGAATTAGATATAATAACGAAATATACGAACAATACACTGAACCAACACTAGCACAATACACTAGACTGCAGAGATTACGATGGGCAGGGCATGTGGCCCGCATGCATGAGAACAGAATCCCCAGAAAATTACTAAACGCAAGAATGCAAGGGAAAAGACCTGTTGGAAGACCAAAAAAGAGATGGGAAGACGAGGTAGATGAGGATGCCAAAAATCTCCTAAAAACGCGTTCATGGAAAAGAACAGCAGTAAATAGAGATGTTTGGAGAGGTCTAATGAAGGAGGCCAAGGCCCGGCTTGGGCTGTAGTGCCATTGGATGGATGGAATTTCAAATCTGTTTTGTTAGAATACAGCCTTACATTTTTTTTTTTTATGTTTGAACACAGTTATCATGTGTTTTGGCCTGCGAACACAGAAAAAATCGTCAACATATTGTATTTCTTGAAATTTAATGTTAACTTTACACAAATCCGTAGTATATATATTTAACTTATTCAGTTATTTTCAAATTCGCCTCTAGTTTTGATACATCTAAATATTCATCGTCATTTACAGCAAATCTGGTTTGTTCTCAATATTCTTCTTTTTGTTTTTATTTTCTCCATGTCCTTTCATTAAGCTACTGAACTATTACTTCGTTTGGTAGTTCATAAAGGACTAGATTAAAGCAAATTCTTACCTTAAAAGTATATCACTGTGAGTACTTTTAACATAAAACTTTGCAACAAGCTTAATGGTTTTGTTAACTTATAAATTGCACAGGAATTACAGTTTTCTTACATTTTCTTTGTTTTTAGGACGAAATCAAGAAAATACTATTGTTTGTTAAGTATTTCCTACCGTCCGATCGCAAGAAACTGTCTGTGATGCTGTACATATGGATAGCGAATGGCAGCATACCTTTCACAGCCGTTCTTGTCCTGAACAATTCTCATCTGGTGAAAGATCACCTAGCGTTAGACTTCCTTATTGACATATTCAAAGCATGGCGTCAAGAAAAGGGTGTCAACTCACTGCATTCTGCTATCAAGAAATCCAACATTGAATCTCATCTTACGAGCTTCATACCTGATACAAAGCAATCGCAGCTGTACTTCCGAAATGCCTTTCAGGTAAGTAACTTATTAACGGTAATAAAGTTTATGTGTTCCTGAAAATATGGCTATTATTGTTTTTTATTGTCTTGGATCATTAGTCATACAGCCAGTCACATATAAGCTCAATTTGTAGTGTGTGTTAAGTAATTGCATTGTTACCATGTAAAGTTGTCTCCATTGTCTGTACAAAGAATCGATTATTATAGACGAACGACCTAATACAATATGACTTAATTATATTTAAAATGTAGAAACATAAAATTTCACTTATTCTTATAGAAAATTACATAATTTTGTACAAATAGAATAAAGTACAAATTAAATAAGCAATAAAATAATACAACAGATAGATTATCATTATCAAATAAATTGTTACTAATTTTTTCTAGTGTAGCCATTTCAACCACTACAAGAAATAATACAAATAAAAATCTGAAACTTGCCAGCTTTTTTCTATTTTTTTTCATGATTTTCAAAAGAGGCCATAATGTTTACCATTTTTTCATTTTTACGAATCATACCGCAAAGTGATTGTCATTAGATGTTTGTGTAACGTTTAAGAATATGTATAAAGCAGTATGCAATCATTTTTTAAATAACAAATGCCAAAAAATAACTTCTTCCAAAATAATGATTTTTATTGGAAAATTAAAATTATACATTTTTTCTGTTTTCTTTATAAAATTACAATTAAGTTGTGATTATTAATACTGTGCATTACTACCTCTTTTGTGAAGTACATTCCTTATTTGATTTGGCATTGAATTGATCAAATTCTGGATGTCGTTTTGAGGAAAAGCTTCCCATTCTTCAATGAGAGCCAACCGAAGCCGCTCACGATTTATTGGAGCAGGTATTCTGTTTCTTACCCGTCGTTTGACTTGGTCCCAAACATGTTCAATCGGGTTCAAATCTGGACTTTGAGCCGACCAGTTCATTTTTGGTACACCGACGTTTCCAGATATTGCGTTACCATCCTGGCTACGTGTGGCCGAGCGTTGTCTTACATAAAAATAAAGTTTTACCCAGCAAAAGGCTCGTCTAGAATTTCGGTAATATATCGGTGTGCATTCAACGCTCCTCTATCAATAAATACGAGATCAATACTGGCCTCGAATGGAATGCCTGCCCAAAAAATTACCGAACCTCTTCCAAAAGCAACACATACTCGTCGAACACCCGCAGTATATCGTTCCCCACGTCTTTAGTATGTTTTGATGCGACCATCTGAGCCATAAAGAACCATCCTGGACTCATCACTAAACAAAACATTTTTCCAATATTCTATTGTCCAATGCTCGTGGTCTCTAGCAAACTGTTAACAAAGGTCCTGTTGCTGGACAGCGAGCCCTTAGACCAAATTCCCTCAACATTCTTCTCACGGTAGAAGTGCTTAAAGTCCACCCATGAGCATTTTGAAAACGGTTTTGGATTGATCTAGCCGTAAAGAAACGATTTTGCAAAGAAGTGCGTTTGTAAAGAACGGTCTCCTCTGGCCGTCGTGATTCTTCTCGAGCCTGATCCTGGTCGTAGGTCGTGAAATCCAGTCTCTACGACCCGTTGGTAAATTTTTGGACCATACAACGACTCACTCCAAGCTGTCTGGCCACTTCTCTTTGAGTCATTCCATTACCAATCAAAGTAATAATTTGAACAGATCTAGCAAATTTCTCAGCCATAGTTTTTAATTTAAAAATTGCACTAAACTAACTAGTGAAACTAGTAACTAGTAGTAAACTAGTGAAAGAAAGGTTTTTGAAAAACGGAATAGCCATAACTGTAAGAAAAAAGTTATAAACTTATAGATATATCTATACATCCAATGTAATGTGATAATGTTATCGTTGTTATAGATTTTAGTAAGTTGTTCTTGCCTAACATCTGCCTTCCAGGCACTCTCGGGCCAAAAACATACACAAACATACAACACAAATATGAAAAATATAAAATAAAAAGTTTTACATTAAAATATATATGAATGCACGTCGTTACCTTCATATTTGGTCTGACAGTGTTAAATTCAAAAATATAAAATGGGGGGTTTTTGACAGGACTGATAAGTCACATATGTCATGTGTCGTGCATATTGCTGTCTTTTGGCAGATATCCTGGAAGGCATGGGAATGTTTTTATAGACAATTAAAATTAAGAGGAACGCATATTCCTCTAAGGAGTTGTAAAATTTTAAGCAACGCCTTCCTTCATAGTGCAGGGCGCCAAGATACATCCGACTTCAGTAAATATCTGCCACTGACGAGTAGTGTGTAGTTCTTTGCATATAATTATTTTGTCACCATATTTCCGTCGATAAACCTTAGAAAAACTCGAACACTTATATTCTAGTTTTAAATGCCATTCTTGTAGATTTTTAGCTGTGTTAACTTGGAATTAAAACAATAATTAACTTGGCATTAACTAAACAAATATTATTTTTTATAAGAAAAAAAAACAACTAAAAAATTATTCTAAATAATTAAATTAAAATTAAAGGCTTTTAAAAAAAATCTCTAACTAATTAAATGTTCGAACAAACCACCATTTTGCGTTAAACAAAATCCGAATCTATCAACTAATCCAAGTCTCATTGTATTCAGCTGATTTGGCTGTACCCGACTACAGAGTTAAACATTTTTTTCCTTGCAATTCTGCTAAATTGGTAGCTCGTTCGAATGCATGACGATATAATTTTTATTTTCGCATTCCCCAGAAATAAAAATCCAAAGGTGGTAAATCTGGTGATCTGCGGGGCCATTTTATTGTTCCTTATGTAGAAATTAATCGTCCAGGGAAAGTTTGATCCAAATAATCTGTAACTTTGATTGCATTATGTTCTGGGTAACCAACCGTAGAAGTTGAATGCAAGGTTTCGAACTACTGGAATAATCTGATTGCGCAATAAATCTAGATACTTATGTCCATTGAGATTTACCGTAATAAAAATGAACCAATTATTCCACCAGTCCACACATTTAATTTCTTTGGGTTTTGTGTTTTCACAGCAATAGTCGAAATGTTTATTTTCCCTAGACCAATAACGTATACGGTAGTTATAAATTTGCCATATCGGTATATGTAATGGTGTATTTCTTTTGCCTATATTATCTGAAAATGATTTCTTTTTCACAAAATGTTTTTTAACTGGTTCAATCACCAAACAATATTATATGTTTTTTCTTTGTTTAGGATAACGGTCTAGAGGAAATACTCAAACTGTACAACGACCAGCACCAACAATTAGCCAAGAAAGAGCTACAGGTGCTATTAGCTGATAACCTCAGTGAGAATAAGCCTCTACGTGATATAATTAATGAAATCAAAGAGATTGCCTTGAAAGATAATATACAAGAACACGAAATAGCGTGTATTATATGGACTACTGTCATGGACATTCCAGAATGGTCTAAAAAGGAGGTAAGTTATATTTTATCCATTAAATACCACATTTTTCTTCCTAATCCACATAATCAGTTCACTCTTGCTTCATGCTAGGTACATATCAAGTTTTATATGTTTAATCTCAGAAAATATTCGCTCCTCTAAAGAACAAATCCTTGATCAAACTTTTTATATAGAGAAATTCAGTATCGTTTAAAATTGATTACTAGTATTTGGGAAATAGTCAATACTCACAATATTAAGTAGTTTTTGTTTAATAAAGTTGGTATATTTTGTGCTACCGGTTTTAAATCTTACAATATTTGGCCCATCATCATGCCAAACTACCAGCTAAAACAAGCAATAAATAACTGAAACATAATAAATTTATTGTGTTTAAAAACTAAAGACTTAAAAAAATAAAGAAATAGAATGGATTACCATTTTATTTAACAACTGAATTGCATACATAAAATATTACTTTCAATATTTTAATGTCAGTAAAATTAATATGTTACGACGCATTAAAAGCAAATTATCTTAATAGATTCCTAGAACCATTATACTTTGTGGTGTGTGTGAATATAGAAATTAATTTTGTGGGTGATAAAAAAATTCTCAGTATTTCTATTTAACAACATTCGTTTTAGTTCATTATATTTTATGTTTATTGCTATATGTGAATAAATGTTAGATATACTTTGTTCAAGTTAAGAAAATAACATTGCACTTTTATGAAGATCAGTGTTGCCAAAACTCTCAGGCACTGGTTGCTATTAGATTGTCGATACATGATTCATTCTAATCAGAGCCGTAGTCAGCACTGTATAGTCGTAGTTAATTAAGTTCACCAATAAAAGGATATGTATAGTTGAATACAAAATAATGCATTATAGGTACTTGTTTCTTTAATTGACAGATATAGGTATGTAATTATTAAAGGTCTAATAAAAATAGTTAAATTTTACTATTATAGTTTATTCGTCTTCCGGGTTTGGACCGTGTCATTTGTGAGTGACCCAAAAGTGGGTTCATCTCGACGTTTCGCTACAATTGTATGTAGCTTCTTCAGGAGAACAAAGAAAAAGAAATCAAAAGACAGGAAGATGGGTAGTTAGCAACGGTAACTCAGTTACTCAACGCAACCAGAGGCGAATACTAACTACTAAGATGGGCATTTGGTCACAGTAACTCAACTACTTAACGCAGCCAGAGGTGAAAACCAAATGCCAGGACAGGTGATTCACGTCCAACAGCTCAGAACACTAACGCGTCGAGAGGCGGGGAGTGAATCCCGTCGAGAGTCGGAAATGACACGGTCCAAACCCGGAAGACGAATAAACTATAATTCTGACTCTGGCCGTGGAAGCCTACGATTTCAAATTTTACTATTGTTTAACATTACATATTTATTAACGCTTTAGATAAGACGTAACTAAAACAAAACAAGTGCAGCTTTAATTTTATTTTCATGTAAGTAATAACAACAATTACATACATGACTTTTTCCTTGTATACTGGGTGAATATAATAAATAAACTATTAGTTTTTAAGTTAATAAAAGCTACAATTTAAAATTATTTTGAAAAATAGGGTGTCCCAATAAAATTAGGAATATCAAAATTATATTTTATTTTCTTATTCTTTTTCCTCTTTATAAGCAATCCTGCTTGTTTATTGTCAGATTGATACCTCTGTGGAAGATTGTTACTCCATCTTTTGCGCAATCAGCTGATTAATGATTTATCGCTTGTCATTTTGACCACACGTGTCTTACAGATTCTGCTTAAGTGGAAACGTTGTCCATCACCACAACAGTTTTCTCTGGAAGGTTAGGAAGAAGCTTTTCCTTAAACTATTGTTTAAATATAAGACCATCCATCTCATCATCCTAGTACACTGAGTTTTTTTAGCTAAAAACCAGAAAGCAGCACCTTCTACAAAGCCCAATTCGCTACCCGCATGCCCTATAACAAATCGGGGGCCTTGTTGTGTAGAATAGATTAGAAATATGCTTTATTGTCACTGAAAATTGTACAATTTTATGGACAAAGCTTATAAAAGTTAAAAAAAATGTAATAATAACAATAAAAATTAAAATTTACTAAAATTACATAAATGATCACTATCTCAGAATAAAACATTAAAATATACACATCCACTTAACAACTTAACAAACGCATCCCTTATTGAACTCACTGAGAGGTCCTTCCATTCTTTTTAAACACTATGTCCATCATTCGCCCAAGTTTCGTCCAAATAAACGACGCGTCGCGACGGTGTATCCTTGAAAACGAAATTTTTTTATATCACGCAAATACTTATGTTTCCATTTTAAGGTCTATTCTCATTAGACGTGCCAGGCCCGTGCTCGTCACCTGACCGGCACATGCCATGCTTTTGGTAAATATTCACACTATTCGCGCTCGTAACATGCTTTCAGCGGTATTTTGCACAGGCAGTCGGTTAGACGTGTCGGTGGGTAGTTGTGCAGTTGTAATGTTTTCTACGGCAACTTTACTAAAAATTGCATTTTTTACTTTGGATGCCGAAGAAGAAGAGAATATGAGAGATGAAGTTAAAAAATGAGGTTTTGGATACATCCAATGATTAAGGAAAGAAACATAGAAGGAGAATACTATACCTTGTATAAAGAACTCATTGATAATGAGTCAAAATTTTATATATATAATATATATATATATATATATATATATATATTATATATATATATATATATATATATATATATATATATATATATATTATAGAATGTCAATTGCCGAATTTCAGCAGAATTACCAGCAGAATGCGATTTTAAACAAATTGACAAAAAATTTTGGTTGTCGTAGAATTTTCCCAAGGGCATTAGGAGCCCTAGATGAAAAGCACATCAAAATTATAGAACCAATCAATAGTGGTTCCAGCTACTTTAACTACAAAAAGATTTTTTCTGTAGTTCTACTTGCTTTAGTAGATATGTAGTTCGACTTGCTCTAGGAAATCACGATAAACCATTTTTGTCCTTAAAAAACTCACTCCCTCCATTTTCCGAACTCAGGTCGCCCGTAAATTATTTTTTCTTTCATTTATGTCATATCATCTTTCTTTTCCAACGAGTTTCATCCTACTATTTTTTTTTTGTTTAAAATATTATCGGCAGTGGTCTATTACCTAGATAAAATATAGTGTTTTATTTACCTATTTTAATATTTCCTCCAATATCCCACCATACCTGAGACTTATGTGCTGCATCTGCATACAGTCGATTCATAAAATCGTATAATTCACTTCTCATGCGAACTAATTCTATTAAAAATTCATCAGTATCATGTGAAAATATTTTTTTCGCACCGTTTTGCCTGTCGAAACTCATCTGAAGTATTCACACTATGTAGGACTGTGCAAGGAATGTGCCACGCACGGGCTAGGAAAATATTGTTTGAAAAGATTGTCCGATGCCGGGCGCGTACCGTTCCCATTCCAAGCACTTGTAGTGAGAACGGACCGTCGCTAAACCCATTTAAATAACGTTAAAGTAATTTTGCACGTCTCGAGCAGGGCACATGCCTGGCACATGCCTGGCACTATAGTGAGAATAGGCCTTTAGAATATCGTGCCTTTCAATGATGCTTGACTTTACCCCTCATTTGCAAAAAACAAAGTTCATTTCATGGAGTATTCTCCACATTGTTGTGCGTGATATGTTTGCTAAATCTTTGTCTTTTTTAACCATTATAAAACTTTGTTCAATGTCGGCGGTAAATTTTTAAAGAAAAAACTAGCACGATGGCACGTATCGGCGTATGAACTACTGCATCGTAAGTGAACTTTCTGCTGTTCAATCTACTTTTGGTACGTTTTCTTGTTTTTTTTTTTATGGGCCTTAGTCCTCCTTCCGCAGCTTCTTTGCGTATTTTAGAAATAGTACTAAAACTTACTCCCGTCATAGCACTTACTTTATCGATTAAACTTCTAACACTTTCTTCCCTTTTTAAATTTAGATGATAATTAAATACATTTTTAATTGTAAATATGTTTACAATTTGTTTTGCACAGATGTCTAAGATATTCCCTTGCTTAATTTTTGAATTTCCATTTCCAATTAACATTTAACTGTAAAGTCAGAATAACTACTAAAGAACCACAAAGCCAGTAGTCAGAGAACGGCATAAAATTGCTTATCTTTAATAGCAGGCAAACTGAATAATTTAGCTAAGCAATATTTTCTACTGATTTCCATGATTTATGGCATATGGTACTCTCACTGAAAAACAAATAATCTGTCGTTACCATAATTAAAATAATATAAAATAAACTTATCTTTTGTAAATAATATTTATTTAATTAAAATCATTTTCCCTACTTTTCTTCTCCTGTTTCGAATGGATACTTTTGGTCAATTACGTTAAAAAACATTAATTTTAATTCATATCTGTGGAAACGAAAATACAAATAATACAACCCTGAATCGTGCTTGTGTTTGTCGCGGCATCGCCGCGCTTCTATCGTCCATAAGAAATACATGGCCCTATCTCCGCAATGTTATTTTCTTTACACTGCGGTGACTCTATAGTAGAAAACTGTGTACTATTCTGAACATGAATGATAGCTTAAGAAAACTAAATCGCAAAATAAGTATAATTTTACTAGTAAGAATTGAAATTACAAAACATTCAATTCGTCTTATACCAGGTCAGGAGTATTCTTTTCGAAAATATTCTCAGCATTTTTCCATTGTGAATTTGCTGTGTTTTAACTCTCCACAGCTTTCTATCCGCACAGTCACCTTCTGAAATCCCCCTCCATAATCACATTCCCCATATGTTTTGCGTCGCATAGCTGGTCTTCCTCTCCACTCAATACTTCTTTTTTTCTTTTAATCATCTCTTCATTTTATTTACCTAGATGATATTTCGGAAGCAAAAATAGGCAGTATAAAATAAATATATTGGTAGTCTTAATGTTGATCTATCATTATTCTAATAAAAATACTCCTTGTGTACACGTTTGATGCATTCACGAAAACCTAATATAACTTTTGATAATGGTAATACTCGCCTGTAGTTAATATCATAATAGCAAACACAATAAAATTAAGATCTTTACAATATCTGGGACACATAATGAGGGAACTGATACAGTTGATAATACAGGGAAAGGTAAGAGGAGGAAGGAGTATAGGAAGAAGGAGAGTGTCATGGTTGAAGAATTTAAGGGACTGGTTTAAATGCAGTTCTATAGAACTCTTCAGAGCAGCAGTAGATAGAGTAAAGATAGTGATGATGATATCCAACCTCCGATTGGGAGACGACACTTAAAGAAGAAGAATAGTTAATATTGTCCCACCCTGTTTAAACTGTAAAGTTTCTTATTCCAGTAAAATTTAAGATAAATGAATTAATATTTATCTCTGCAATGTACTGGAATATATAAAAACAATAATACTGGCATCAAATAATTTCCATTGTTTTTGATGTTATCTAATGTTGTAACATTTTTTTTGTACAAAAAATAAGATATACAGACAATAAAAAATTGCTAACTGCTCAATAAATTGCTCATTTAAATTTGCAATCGTGTTTTTTAAACAACATAACATAGGACACTTCATTCCGTAAAATTTTGTATTTGTTATAGGATCTAATGCAGATTTAGAATCTGTTAATATTACTCTTTCGAGTATGTTGTTAAACAGGTAACACCTTTTATAATTGCAAAAACTTCGGCAGGATAAATGCTAGAATCAAGTGGTAATTTATATATCAATGATTGGTTTGTTTTTTGGATAAATATACCACAACCAACACATTCCTTCGTCTTTGATCCATCTGTAAATAGAAGAGTTTTGTTATAGAAATCACCCAGTATGGATTTTAGGAAGATGTAATTTATTTGATGAGATTCAGTATACTTGGGAATTATAATTCTGTGTGTTTTTATTAAAGATTTAAAAGGTATGGTGTACATGTATTGTAATTTATTACTACCAAACAAATTTTGGACTCCATTTGTCGCAGTAAATGCTTCTGCGAGCGGGGAGAATTTTTTAGTTGCCAATACTGGTTTGCTAAGTCTTCTTTCACAATATGACTTAATGTGTTGATCATGTTTGACTCCTGGGCTTTTAGTTTTAACAAATATTTTTGCGTTAATAAGTGACGACGAAAATCCAAAGGAAATTCATTACATTCTGCCAGTATTGCATTCACTGACGATAATATCATCCCACCGATGCAAGTTCTAAGACATTTATATTGAACTCTATCTATTTTTTTAAGGTTGGTATCATGAAGATTTTTTATTGTTTCTCTATCGATTGAGTCATAGGTTTTTTCGAAAACAACAAAAGTCACAACAAAATTTTTTTTATCTTGATTTAGCATATGTTATTACTGACTTTATGTTATGCATTTGTTCTGCGCCAGAACTTGATGTTATAAAGCCGGCTTGATATTAATGTTCTTAATTTAAAATGGGCTCTGCTTTATTAAATAGTAGTCTAGATCACTTTTATTTCTATGCACTAGATGAATAAGTGCTATTGTCCAATCAAAGGGTAGAGTTTCTGATTACCATATATTAAGAATAATGTGAATATGCTTTACCGTGTCAATACCGACGAATTTCCACATTTCAGCCAAAATATAATCAGCATCACCTAATGTGTTGTTTTTCATGACACATAGTGTTTCCAAATTTAGTTGGCGGAGGTCGGAGGAAGTCCATCTTATCTTTCATTAGGGATTTCAGCATTAAGGGGTATAAAAATATTTTCCTAAACCTGCAGCACAGGATTAGTTCTATAGTCATTGTATTGGTTGTACAGCCACATTGGACATATAGTTGCAATTTAAATTTCTTTATTTCATGTTTATCGTGCATTATGTTTTTGATTTTCATTTTGTTTAAATTTTTCACTGTATCATCCGTTAATTGTTTTTAAATTTATCTAATATAAAGACTTTTTTTACAGGAGTTGGTAACAGAGCAAGCTGTAAGACACCTCAAGTACTACACTAATCTCTTTGGCGCATTCACAGAATCAGCTCGTTCAGAAATCAATCTGTTGTTAAAAGTCCAGGACTACTGTTATTCAAACATGACCTTTATGAAGGCTTTTCAAAAAATCATAATGTTGTTTTACAAGACCGACGTGATCTCAGAACAGACCATTTTGAAATGGTATAAACAAGATTACAATGTAAAGGGTAAAATGATGTTTGTCGAACAAATGAAAGAATTCATCAATTGGTTACAGAATGCCGAGGAAGAGAGTGATTCTGAAGGTGACAGTGAATAGGTGAGTACAGTTTTAAAAAATATCCAAATTTGGATGGTTTTAAATTTTTGGTTTAAGTATTTTTGAGTATTTTTTTATTTACAAACTCGCATCAGCCTGTATGGCTATTAGCAAAAAAGAAAAAATATCAGCCATAGAATAGTACAGCAATCAAATTTTGTATGAATAGTTTATTGTGTAAATGTAAGCTAGATTACCTAGTTTTATCTTCATTTTTGGAATCATGTATTCTCTTCCTACACTCTCTAACCCAATTTCTCTTTTGTTTACAATAATTACAAGTGGCATGCTTTTTTAAGTCCTGTATATTTGTTTTCTTTTTACCAGTGGCTTCCACTTTACTTTGTAATGCCTCTACTTGTAAAGCAAGACGGGATATTTCAGAGTCATCATTATTCATTCTAGTTTTTTCTTTAAGCAATCTTGCTGCTAAATTTTCAAAAGTTTGCTGATTACTAGCTACAGAGTCACAGGCAGTACGAACATATAGGAGGTAACTATTAATTACTTTGGAACAAACAGTACTATTACTAATAGTTTCTTTAACATCTTTTAACTGTCTAACCAATAGCTCTATTGTTGGTATATGCTCTGCAACCTTTGCATTCTCATGCATTTTATATTCATAAAACTATTGTCATAGTAAACTCTCTAGAGATGTCTGTCTTTTGTTCATGTATTGTGATCAGTCTTGATCACATTTCGGCAGCATTTTCATAGTTTATCAAATGTTTTATTTGATTTTGACATGTAGTACTTAACAAAATTACCAGTACCTTTGAATTCTGTCATCCCATTCTTTTCAATCACAGCTAGTTTGGTCTTCGGATTCTGTAACTGTTTTATTCACAACTGAAGTTTCTCTGCTTTAAAACAAATGGTTACACTAAATTTCCATAACTGAACATTTCAACCATCATACTTGGTGATATTCCCAAAATCAATTTGCACAGCTGAGGCACTTGTTTGCACTGCACTAATTGTTTATTTTGTAACTGATACGACTACAACGTTGCGAAAATAAACACGAGGACCATTCAAGACTTAAACGTGACAACAACTAAACTTTTTATCGCAACTCGAGGGGCTACTTTTTAAATCTTAAAATAAGGTGTCTGGGTTCATAACCTGATGAATAAAACAAACCGACGGTTGATGAGTAAAAAGTTTATTGAATTATAAGCCTGAGAATATTAACAAAACAGTGCTTACATTTAACAGTTTGACAAAAAATCAAAAATCTATTTTCAAATCTTTGATATTACATTTGTTCAAGAGCTTACGCTAACATCAGCATTAAAGCCTCTTTCACTTAACATAATAAGGTCTGTATGTGCTTCCAAAGAAATACTTCCAACACCAAACTGCACTCCAAAGGAGAAGCAACGTTGGCCATAGCGTTCTCCAAGCCTTCTCTGCACCCTCTGGTGCGGTAAAACAATGCTCATCTGTAAACAGAAAGTTTCTCCAATTTTCCATATCCCAATCTGTATGAGCACGAGAGAATTACAAGTATTGTCGTATGAATGATCTGCATTCTATATATAGCCTGTAGCAGGTACATAAGATGAATTTTGGTCGCTTAATCTTCTGCATATGGTTCTGTATTAGGTGAAACTGCATATATAGTACTATGAACATCTGTCAGTCTCCACATCAACGCTGTAGCAGTATCTGTCCGTTTTCAAAGCACTTAAGAAACCGATCTTCCACGGCGTCTGTTACTCTTGATCTTCCCTGTCTATGTCTTCTTGAGTAAGAACCAGTTTCTCGAAATCTTTGTAATACATCATATATTGTAATTCGCGGAACAGTTTCTTTGATATACCGAATGGAATACTCCGTCATCATGAAGAGCAACGGCTTGCGCTACTTGCTCTTGTCTATATTATCAAAAATTTATCACTTATCATTAACCTGTCTGGTAGTCTTTTATTCCAGTAGAATTTGAGATAAACGAATTAATATTTATCTCTGCAAAATACTGGCATATATAAAAACAACAATACTGGCATCAAATAATTTACGTTGTTTTTGATGTTATCTAATGTTGTTACATTTTTTTACCGAAAAATAAGATTAAAATAGCTCACTAATGGATAAATAAAAAATATGTTTGCTTATTTTCTGATTGGGAAAGAGTAGAGAACATTGTTCCCAGGATACTTTCCTGAAGGAGCTTGAAGTAGGCGTACGAGAACGAAGTTGAACTCTTGTAATAACTCACCAAAGCTCTGTCTGTGGGTTTTGAGTTGTTATATAGAGCGATGGTGTATTTGTCGCCGAACTTTCCGTCAAGGCGGTTACGCTAATTTGCTCTTTGAGTACCTTCTTGAGAATTTCAAGGGCATCACCGAAACCACCAACGTCAGCTTCGTCCAGCCATTTGCAACCTATATTGCATTGACCTTTTGCAGATAATTGACCTCAACAAGATTTTCCATTGTAGATGGGAGATTTGATTTTCGATCGTTCTGCAGATCTCTACATAGACGATGCTTTTAGACTTAAATAGTTACTAATTCCTAGTACTAAAGTACTACGTAACGAAAAACCAAATTAGTTGCTTGATTTAAAAAAAATGTATTTTGTCTTCCGCTCTGGAAATCAACATGTGAAATAAAATTGCAGAGTTATTTTGGAAAATTATATAAAAATAAATTGCTACAAGAAAATAGCTTAAGAAAAATAATGTTGGAAAATAAACTATGACATATTAGGGTGTATGATAAAACACATCCATAGTTTAGTTGATTCACTCATTATTTTAAGACTGATTTGACTCATTTATGATTTTAAAACCGATTTATAAATCAAAAATATATTATACAATCTAGGTGTACTCAAAAACTGATAAACTTTACTGTAATAATAAATCTATAAATATATTTTGTATACATAACTAATATATTTTCTTTTGTTTCAGGGAAATGGTTTTTGTTGGTCTTAAATAAATATCAGTGCCACCTATCATTGTAAAATATTAAAAAGTAGCATTTTTTCCAATGTATTCAAATTATAATGTATAAAAATTTTCAGGTGCCTTACTATGTTGGTGAGTGGCAGGCAATAGTTTTGACTGGGGACATGTAACATTGACCTCACTAAAATGTATTCAATAATTATATAAAAAAAGTATTAGTACAAGGGAAAAAATGATATTTGTCTGAAACGTCGCCAATAAAATCACAACTCAATGTTATATATTAATGATTTATGGTCAATTTTTTAATATACAAGAAATTTTAATAAAACGGGTTTTATTTTATCAAACCGCTATTTGATTCTTCCTCGCGTGAAAATATTGTATTAAATGGCAAACCGTTGGAACTCGTAAAGTTTTTATTTCAATCCATTCCTTTTCCTAACCCGTATATTTTAACAGTATTATAAACAAAAATACCTTAAATACTAATTTCACTTGTAACAAGGAACAAGAATATAAATTCGAGAAAGTGAACGCTTTTACTTATCTGGGGATAGAGGGAAAGAGCGTAGGCGCAAAATTTCGGGTCAATGCTTTTTAAATGCATTGATTTTTTTCGAATCCTGAGAAAACTAACAAATATTTTTGAAATATTTAAACACAGAATGAAAGATTACGTTACCTAGGGCCGAAAGTCCCTTAGAATAAACAAAAAGTTTTTTTGAATAAGATATTTGAAATTAAAAATCACACTAAATTTTTTCTTCTTTTTCACCCCTGTAACTTATTAAAATAAACGTTATAGAATTTTTCGGGGACTTTTGGCTCTAAGTAATAATGTATTCTTTCATTCTGCGTTTAAATTTTTCAAAAATATTTATTAGTTTTCTCAGGATTCGAAAAAAATTAATGCATTTAAAAAGCATTGGACCGAAATTTTGCGACTACGCTTTTAAGAATTAAAGCTGAAAATCAAATTAGCGAAGGGAAATTAGCGAAATATGTATCAAGAAAAGCATAGATAAGAATTAATAAGACTGTAATCAGATCCACAGAGCAGTATGGACAAACAAAATATCAAATGTGAAGAAATTGGAAAGATGGCAAATAAACATGCTTAAATCTACAACAAAAGCAAAAATACACGAGAAGCTTGTTTAGGTAGCCCCCTTATCACTACACATAGTTGTTCTCGGTTTAAATTATTTTCTGCTTTTGTTCAGTGATTAAAGTAGGGCGAATTAAAAATTCGCTGGTTAATTGAAGTAATAAATAGGGAAACAAAATATAGAACTGGGATAACTCATAAATCATCTGTACAAATCTTGTAATGATTGGTAGGTAGAAAATCGGCGTTGGCGCGCATTACTTGTGTAACATCCTCGTATTATACGCTAATGGATGCTTATCTCTGCGAGCGGAGGCAAGGCTTACTGGTCCAACTAGTGAGAACGGACGTGATTTCGCCCTCGCGGATCTACTAGAGGGTAGGGAAAATTTGGATAAGGGGATGATTGCAGGCCCTGCAAAGAAATAGAGTCTCTTGGCTTGCTTTAGAAGCCGGAGAAATGCACAAGCGAAAAGTATGTTCTCTTCTAGTCTCTACCTGTAAATGGCCGGGAAAGAACAAAAAACCAAATTTCAAACTTACAATATATTAAATAAATTGCAAACTACAACTCAGACAACAAGATATACGTTATAGCTAATTATTGGTTTATCAAGTTGCGAAAGGAGACGAGAAGAGACTTTAGCAAGAAATATAAAGGGTGGACAATCTACGATTATTTTGTATTCCCCCTGGGTTAGTATTTATGTTTAGTTACCTTAGCGTATTTAGGACCTAGCTAAAGAATATGCCTTTGCAGTCCAACTGGAACTCAGGAACAGTCTGCTGAGAGTACTGTACGCTATCACGATTGTCCGAGAGACGAAAAATTCGGTACTTATACTGTACTACCGTTCCCGTCGGATATAATACCGCGCTAACTGAGCTGCACACACCCGGACGGCGGACCAACTAACTCTCCCCTAGATCGCCGAGCACTCGCTGCCCGGTTGACCAATTTACTTCGTTTTTATGTCCCGCGAACGCGTACCCTCAATTACTCCGTCACAGTACCGAGGCGTCGCGCCTTACCGCCTTTCCCCTAGAGTTTTTGCTGATTGTGCCGTCTGCTCCACGTGTTAAAATGGATCATGCGATGGTGTGACCTACTAGCTCAGCTCAATTCTTATCGCTGGTGTGTCCCTTCGTTGTATTATTTTCCAACGAATGTCTATGGTTTCTAGACAGCTAGAAAAACGCTCCTTGATATACCTATTGGTCAAAGAAGAAGAGGAACACCCAGAACAAGATTCCTAGATAACATAGACACATATATGAGAAATATGGAAATACGTGCTTGGCGGATGAAGGCAATGGATAGGGACGACTGGAAGAGAATTCTTGGGGAGGCTAGGACCCACACTGGGTTGTAAAGCCAAAATGGTAATGATGAATCAAATATTGATAAGTAGTTATATTATAGTAAAACATTTTTTGTTTTTGAATAATTGTTATTTTTGTACATGTCGCTTAGTCCCTTTCAACAACTTACAGAAAAATAAAACTTTTTTCAAGAAATAATGTTTATTTAACAAAAACTCAATAAAATGGAAGGGTATAACTTATTTCCTTTAATTTTGTAGTAGGCCAGTTAACAATATCGTTATAAAATGGTTGATCGTTTTTTGGAATATATTTTAACACTCGTTTAATATGATCTATTTTGGTTTCTTGAATCAGAATCTTGCTCTTATATGCCTTATTTGACGGCCATCTTACGATGCCAGCATTGAGCATTTTAAGGTAAAAAGTGTTAACATTAAAAGGGCTGTTAATATAGGGGAAAGTACTGTGATAGCCAGGTTTAGAGGCATCATGCCTAAGTGGTGAAACTGTGAAACCGAAAAATGTTGTTGTTGATTTCTTGGTATGCCTCTTTGGCTTGTCTATAGAGAAACGACATTCCTTTTATAAAAGTTGATCCACCAATTCTTAAAATCCAAAATGTCAGATTTTTTTACTTCCATTACAGTAAATTTTCTACTCACACTTGACGTAATTATCAATTTAGTTAACTCGTATACAGAAAAAATTATGCCAAAGCGCTTCCAAAGTTTTTTGACAGTGCCAAAATCCCTATCGTAAGGTAAAATGAGTGCCCTCTAATGGGATAAATCTGTTCAACTTTTTTAAATCTTCTTTCAACTAATTTCATACACATTCTGATTACAGTATTGTTTTTATTTTGCCCAGGGCGATTATCACAAAATAAAAGCGGTTCTTATATATATATATATATATATATATTATATATATATATATATATATATATATATATATATATATATATATATATATATATATATATATATAAAAGGGCAATAATATCTGGAACATAGTTTTTTTAATATGCAGCAAGAAAGAACACACCTCGTTGGCAACATTACTGCCCTGGCCTTCGTGATACATATAAAGAAACTTTCACCGATTTTAAAGTTGTGAATATTAAACACGTTTAAAGTCAATTGTGTAAGGTAAAACAGATCTTGTACGGGAAGATGGAGGCTCTGTATATAGTCAAACGATAAGGCTAATACAATTTCATTGATTTACTTTTTACTTAAAATTACTTTACTTACTTAGATTTACTTAAAATGTTAAAAAAAAATCTATTAAAATTAGGAAAAATATAAAATTCCGGATATTTTCTAGACGGACTGTAGATGTGACATAGGTTTAAAAGAGTAATGTGTATGTAACAAACACTACTTTTTTCTAGAAGTCCTTGTAGATATAAATCCTGCTCATCTTTTGTATTTAATTTGTAAAATTTTTCGAATACTTCATTTCTGTCGTCCTCTTTTATTTTAGTGAAACATTTCTGGCTCCCATGCTGGGAGTCCCCAGTCCTTACAGGCTTACTGCCTTACACTTAAACTCTGTAACTGGTGTTACCATTAGACCTCCCAATCTCAAGAGGTTTTATTCATCAACCTTAATCCATTGCATAGGTGAAAACACACCTCATATATCATACCTTACATAGTATCAAAGGAACTCCTTTGTTTACCGACTTAAAAGATGCTCCATAATTCTATGGAGTAACGAGCACCCAGGGAATACGTATTTTAACATTTGTATAGATAGTCGACATCAAAATAAAGATAAATAATGTCAAATCACCGACATTCGAGTTATCCAGTTAATCGATTTTCAATAAAATATTGGGAATCCTTAAGGTATAGAATCCTAAGAATCTAAGTCTAAGAATCCTATGCATTCAACGCTCCTCTATCAATAAATACGAGATCAGTACGGCACTCGAATGAAATGCTTGCCCAAAACATTACCGAAACTCCTCCAAAAGCAACAAGTACTCGTCGAACATGCTCGCAGCATATCGTTCCCCACGTCTTCTGTATGTTTTGATGCGACCATCTGAGCCATAAAGAACCATCCTGGACTCGTCACTAAACAAAACATTTTCCAATCTTCTATCGTCCAATGATCGTGGTCTCTAGCAAACTGTAGTCAGCGTTGTCGATGTGCTGCTGTTAACAAAGGTCCTGTTGCTGGATAGCGAGCCCTTAGACCAAATTCCCTCAACCTTCTTCTCACGGTATAAGTGCTTAAAGTCCGCCCATGAGCATTTTGAAAACGGTTTTTTATTGATCTAGCCGTAAAGAACCGATTTTCCAAAGAAGTGCGTTGTAACGAATGGTCTAACTGACTCAAAGCTATTTGGCCACTTCTCTTTGACTCATTCCATTACCAATCAAAGTAACAATTTGAACAGAACAGATCTAGCAAATTTCTCAGCCATAGTTTTTAATTTAAAAATTGCACAAGTTTACTCTTCGAACAGCTGCATTATCCGAAGTCGTAAAACTGATAACAATTCTGCAAACTTATTACCCTTAATTGACCTGTCGGTGCCTAAAAGACGCCAAAAGTGTTTCTGCATTGTGGGAATATATGTTGTGAATGGTTTCACCAAACAGGCGAAAAGACAGGAATCAAATGATTAAAACAAAACTAAACAGTAAAGGTGGAAATACATCATTCAATTCGGTTGAACAATGTGGATGATTCAATTACATTGTTCAATCAAATTGAAAAGCATGCATACACGCTTCAATTATTCTTTCAGATCAAAATGTCGGCAAATGAAATCGTGCAGGTCGGTGTTCTAATTATTTGCGAACATTTACTTGAAGTGTGTAAAAAAGATCTGAAAAATAAGCAGAAAAGACTACAAAGCAGACGTCGGCGT